GTTACTTGTTTTGCAAGTTTCTTATTTGATTTTTGACCCATTTCTCTCTTTTTAATCGTTTTCGTTTTCTAGTATTCACCCAAAACTCTTTCGAACATATGTCTCTTCTGACTATTTTTCGTTTTAATTTCAAGCAATATTTATTTCAGTCTCTTGTATGATCAACAAATCTTTCTTGATCTAGTCTCATGTCATATATACATAGGTTTTCTAGTAACAAATAATTTGGAACAAGTAACAAATATGCGAATGCGATTCAATCTTGTTTATATTTGACCTCGTGGGCTCTTTTAACTATATTAGCGGGCCGTGAATAATATTACTCACATAGCTCGTTAAAATCAAGGTGGACCAGTAAAGAATAAAGATATTAGTTTTGTAAAATAAATTTCGACGGATTGGTTAATTCGGTTTTATAAATTTTATTTCATCCGAGTTATTTTATAGTTCAGTTTAGGTTGAGGTTCGAAAATCTTGTTTCAAATTTGGGAATTTTTTTTTGGTTCGGGAATTTTAACCACCCGAATGTATACTTTTAATAAAAATTTGACAAAAAAAATAGAGGAAAGAACCAATAACAGAAGTTAAAAAAAGTCAACTAATTGTCAAAATCCTCTCATCAATATTCATATCTATTTTTTCGTTGGTACTAGTTTATACACAAAAGACACAATACAACATTCCTCATTTTCTTCTACCTTTTTTTGTCTATTTATATAAAACAATTTGAATGGTAAGGTAGCAAAAAGATATATATATGTAGAAGTCCCTTTTTTTCATCCATAACCAATTAAAAAAATTGTAAGGAGTTAAAACAAAACTTACTTTGGGTCACAAATCAATTCTGTTGTGAGTTTGAAGTTGTATCATTAGACGATGTTCCACTTAACACTGAATGTTTCCTTTGAAGCTTCCCTCTTAGTTGTCTGATCTTAGCATCAACACGAGCCGTGAAACCGATCTTTGTCTTCTCTCTAGCTTTCGATTTCTCTCGTTTCCACATTCTCTCATCCTCTAAATCGATTCTGAAATGTTTGATCTCTTGTATAATGTGATGGTCAAGAGGGTACACTGATCTTTGGTATGAGATGTGAAAAAGGTAAGGGAGTGTTGTCGCGGCTATAACCAGGAGTGAGGTAAGCCAAAAGATCGGTGCAGGCGCTAATGTTTCGGCTAACATGTGAAAGATGTTACCGGATAGTTTTGGTGGTAACATACCGTACAGGGCGAGGAAAATGTACCAAGCTCCTATACTTCCCCAAATCATTACGTGTTGGATCCAAGTGAAGTGGCTCATGGTTAACGCGATTTGAACATTTACTGCCCAAATGATGCAAGTAAACATGGCGGTTCCCATGGCGTTCATGTCTGCGGTTTGACCATCAGAGCGGAATGATTGGACATGGAAGATCCCGAGGTTGAGTGTGAAGATGACTATGGATGCGTAAACTCCATTTCCCATCCATCCGAGGATTCTGTACCAGTCGAAGAATAGGTTCTTGGGGCCTTGTTGATACAATGCAGGGAACTAGATAAACAAAAAGACCGAAGAAACGAATTAAGATACAAAATTCAAAGGATTGTTTTCGGTGTGAAAGATGATGGAGAGGACTATAAACCTGTAAGCAGACATCAGAAGGAACATCTTGTTCGAAAACTCCGAGGGAAATGACGGGGAGAGAAGTCAGAACAACGTTGAAGAGTAATAAGTAGGAGTCATTGTATATCGACTGACCAGAAAACCCGGTAAAGGCTTCAAAGTAGAAGAGAGTTAGGCCAAACGTTATGTTCTTGTAGAAGAAATAACAGATCTGTGAAAGCAACAATTATGAATCAAAATC